GGGTCCGCCCAAGTAGAAAAGATCAAGATCGACCTTGTGAGGGGTCGGAGGACCGATTCCGAGCGGATTTGGGCCGGCCAGGAATATGACGAGTATAAATGGCGTCAGGACGCGATCGGCTCAAGATACGTTCCACGAACTCTGGAATACCTAGCGGCCCCTTCTCCGAAATAGGTGACGTCCTGGTGCGTATCATTATCGTGGCTTCTCGCTGCTCTGAGGGAGAGCCGCTGAGGGGCAACGATCGGGGGGACTGGCTGAAAGGAGAAACCTCGACCTGGAAGCCCCAATACATCGCCGATAGATCGGCGACAGGCTCCCGATAGTAGACCCGAGCCTTGCTTGACGTTGCTGGGCCATGGAGCCCCTACTGGAAATCAGTGGGCGGTTGAGGGTCGAGGCATCCCGCCCTGCGCCTGTCCTCCGCCTGTCGCTGCCACCTGGTGAGTGCACCGACCTTGCAGACGTGCTACACACGGCGAGCGAAAAGCGAAGTGAATTTCACGCGGTTTTTTGCAGCCTTCATTCCTGGCCCCAAAAAAATCCGCACGAAAAAGTCACGTCGAAATCCGGAACGCAATTCTCCAGGAACATCTGGACCCATGCCATTGTTTTCCGAAGGAATTCCGCGCTGCGATGCTGGCGCCATGACACCTGGTTTTCGGAGCACGTTTGGAGACCCGACACGGTGCGGTGACAGACCGTGCGGTGACTTCGAAATCCCCCAAGACCTCACCGCACGGTTCGTCACCGCACGGTTTTGGGACCCTGGAGGCCCTGTCGGAGAGACGCCCTCGGAGAGGGGCCCGAGCCCCAAAACCGTACGGTGACCCCGAATCCCCACCGACTCACCGCGCGGTGTGGTCACCACCCCGTTCGGGGGCCCCGCGGCTGCTCGTGGACGATCCGGGCCCCCCCCCCCCCGAGACGCTGCTCGGAGGGGTCCAGCCGCGGAGCAGCACCGCGCAAGGCTGCCATCTGCCCCTGAGCCTCGAGCCATAGATAGGGGGCCGCGTGCGAACCCTACCCCTGCCCCCCACGAACGAAGTGAACCCCACCATCCCCCTCAGAAATCGTGGGGGGTAGGGGTAGGGTTCGCACGTGGCCCCCTAATGAACCTCAACTTTTGGCGCTCCCTGTCGGATTTCTTGGATCTGCGCCAGACCATCCTCTCTGGCGCGCACAGCGCGCCAGGGGCGGGGCCGGAGGCGCCGCCAGGAGGGTCCAGCGCGGATCCATGAAATCCGCGCGAACATCCGAGTTGCTGTGTTTGTGCCCTTTTTGCCTTCCCCCCGAATCACGGGGCCACTGGGGGTCGATGCAGTTCCCGTGAGCGCATCCCCCCGTTACCCTCAGGTCGGGCATGTCCTCCTGCAGGCGGCTTCTGGAAAAAACTTAAGAAATGGGGAAAAAGTGTTCAGACATAGTGACAGAAGTCCCCAGACTATTGTTTGACTGCTTTTGAATATTACTCCTGTAGACGACGTGCCCAACTTAACTTTGCCCTGCCCCCGGCCCGCTGCGGTCTCAGCTCCGGCCCTCGTCCCGCGCGAGGGCCCACATCGAAGCAGCACGCGCTGCCGCCTGCGTACTGGTTCTGGCCGAAGGCGCCGTCGTACGTGGTCCCGTCGGCCTTGGTGAGCACACCGCTGCCGTGCCTGACCCAGCGGAACAAAAAACTGCATACGTTTAGGTCGGGCGTGTCCCCCGACAGGCGGACTTGGACGAATTATGCAAACAAAAATGCTACTACAAAATACCCCACAATGGCTAAACAAATTGAGAATTCGTCCACATACTATTTTTTACTATTCTTCAATCTGCCTCCTGTCGAAAAGACAGGCCCGACTTGAGCATACGTAAACATCAACTTTCGACGGTCCGCGCATATCGCCTGGACCTGCGCCGGGCCCCTCTCGATGGCGCGCGGGGCGCGCCAGGGGCGGCGCTGGAGGCGCCGGCAAGGTTCAGCAGGGACTGGCCGTCCCGGCATTCCTATAGGCCTACCACGACGACATGTTCGTAGAACCCAAAAGTGGTCGAAAAACAAAACATTGTTTTTAGAGCATAAGCCCGATGTGTTGAAACGAGACAATCTAAGCCAGGAATGTTCGGAGAACATTCGCGCAGATCACAAAAGGTTCTTCGAACATTCTTTGGTGGGCCTATGGGCGAGCCAAGACACTTCGCCACTGCTTGAAAAACTCGTCGCAGAGCACAGCAATTGTACGTTTGTGCCGCTCTTCGGCGGCGAGCGAGGGGCGGGAGTGCGAGGAGGCGGGCCTTCTCGGAAGGCTCAGGGGCCCCCCTGCCTTCTGAGAAGTTTTCTAAGCCTTCCCCGAAGACACAGAAAACCCCTCGGAAGGCGCGAAGGCTTCTGAGAAGTCCCGCCCGCCGCCTTCTGAGGAGGCCTTCTCCTTCTCACTTCCCCCCCTCGCTCGCCGCCGTCCGATATCAAAAATCGAAAAACTTCGGAATGGCCTAGCCGTCGTCCGTTTTTCAGCGGAGGACGAGCAACAACGGTATACAAGAAACTGCGCCGCCGTCGGCAATGCCTGTCCCAGGGCGGCTGGGAAGTTTGTACCCATACGGCAGGGGGAAACAATTAGTGGACACTCCCCGCTTCCCCAAACTCAAAGCTGGCATGCGCGGGGGGGAGACTGCGGTCGAAGTGGAACTCTTAGGGGGGAGGGGGGAGGCGGTGACAGATGAATGTGGCACGCGTGTTCGCTATTCTTTTCCGATATGGCAAGTAGGGGCACAGTACAGCCTTCCCAGCCACCCTGGGACAAGCGTCCCCCGATCGCGGAACAGATGAATGTTATACATAGAGATGTTGCATTCCCCCCCCGAAGCGTCCTTGACTGGGGGAGGAGGTCGGTATCCCATGGGGGGGTAGCGGTCACCCCCCCAAGGGAGACCGACCTCGCATCGGGGCCCCGGGAGGGAGGGATGGGGGGGCGGGCGCCAGGCGACGACGACGACGACGACGACGACGGCGACGGCCGCTTTTAAAGGCGACGGCGACGCGACGACGATGCGACGACGACGACGAAAACGACGACGAGGAGGGCGACGAGAACGACGACCACGGCTGCCTCTGAAGATCTTTCTCTTTGCAGGCAGCCTCCAGCCGCAGCCGACGGGGAGCGATGCCCACCTGACATATTAAACTCTCAGCGGGTGCGGCGGAACGGGGGGCGAGCACAAAGCGCGAGGGGTGGACGAATGGCTCACTCCGCGAACCTCAAATTCAACGGTGCCTGGCGAAGGCCAGTGAAACGGAGGAGCCACCACCCACACCTCACAGCACGCCCTGAACGAGGGCAGACAAATGGGCGGAGGCAGTCGGCCTCTCAAAGCCCTTAGTCAGAGCTGTCTGCATCTTCTGCGGCGCCGGCTTGGCCAGGCGCCTGCGACGGAGCTCCAGCAGCAGCAGCGCAGGGTGAATCAACCTTCGCAAGAAAACGTCTCTCTCCCTTCTTCGCGCAAGTAACACACAACAGTTGCAAGCTGGTTCGCACGCGAGCTGGCAAAATGTCCCGTAGTAGCCGTAGCTGGCACGCGTGCGTCGACTTCTTCGCATGCTGGGCGCACATCTCTCTCAGGACACGCTTCCATTTCCACTTCTGGTGGGCGTTTTCAGTCTCGGAGCAGCGCTTCAGGTCAAAATTCGATTGATCTGGTGACCCAGTCGAAACATAAGAAGACGCGCGGTGAACGCAAATGAACAGGTGGAGCGGCCCGACCAAAGCAAAAGAACACTAGCATGACGGTTGCCCGACACCCTTGCAAGATCGAGGCCGTTAACCTCCCCGGCACACTTCCGAGCAGGAGGCCTTGGAACGCCCATGGGATGCAGAGGATGGGCAATTCTGCGAGTGGCGCGGCAAACCCGTCCACAGCGCCTCTGAAGGTCTCCGGAGGTCGCCGGAGGCCACGGAAGATCTCCGGAGGCTTCTGGAGGCGACTGGAGGCCCTCCAAGGCCCTCAGAGACGACGACGACAACGACGACGACGACGACGAGGGCCGCCTCTAAAAGTCCCTAGAGGTCTCCCGAGGCCTCGGGAGGTCTCCAGAGGCCTCTGGCGGCTGTCGGAGGCCCTTCGGTGCCTGTCGGCACCACTCCATGCTGTGAGCAAAGCGCCACACCTTTGGGAAGGGCTGGGCGCTCCCCCCCCACACACACACACACACAAACTTTGCAACTTCGCGGGGGGGGCAATGCCGCTCGACACACACGCCGCTCTCTCCTTCTCTCCGACCATGCCCGTCGACACGAAGACTCCTTGCGCAAAATCGGGAGCACGGCCGGCCCGCTCACTGCCAGCGGCGAGCTGGACTCAAGAACTGATGGAGAAGATTCCGCAGCCACATGAATACGGAGTCACTGAATACATGACCCTGGCGAAGGACCCAACCACACGGACATGTGAGTGCCGCAATTGTGAGTATCTCCTCCAGTGGCGATGCCTATGGGGCGATGAAGCGTATGAGGGGCGTGCCAAAAGGGGTGGCGCGGACGCATGTGGACACCGCCACTGGGGCCTTCGGTGGAGCTCCTCATGGGGCCACGAAGCGTGTGAGGGGTGTGCCGAAATGGGTGGCGCCATGTGGACACCGCCACTGTGAACCTTCGGTGGAGCTCCTTCTGGGGTTCCGAAACGTGTGGGGGGGGTGCCGACATGGGTGGCGCGGACGCATGTGGACACCGCCACTGGGGCCTTCGGTGGAGCTTCCTTATGGGGTCACGAGACGTGTGAGGGGGGCGCCGACATGGGTGGCGCGGACGCATGTTTACACCGCCACTGGGGCCTTCGGTGGAGCTTCCTATGGGGCCACGAAAAGCGTGAGGAGTGTGCCGAAAGGGGTGGCGCGGACGCATGTTTACACCGCCACTGGGGCCTTCGGTGGAGCTCCTCATGGGGCCACGAAGCGTGTGAGGGGTGTGCCGAAATGAGTGGCGCCATGTGGACACCGCCACTGTGGCCTTCGGTGGAGCTCCTTCTGGGGTTCCGAAACGTGTGGGGTGTGTGCCGAAATGGGTGGCGCGGACGCATGTTTCCACCGCCACTGGGGCCTTCGGTGGAGCTCCTCATGGGGCCACGAAGCGTGTGAGGAGTGTGCCGAAATTGGTGGCGCGGACGCATGTGGACACCGCCACTGGGGCCTTCGGTGGAAATCCCCATGGGGCCACGGAGCGTGTGAGGAATGTGCCGAAATGGGTGGCGCGGACGCATGTGAACACCGCCACTGGGGGCCTTCGGTGGAAATCCCCATGGGGCCACGAAACGTGTGAGGGGGGCGCCGAAATGGGTGGCGCGGACGCATGTTTACACCGCCACTGGGGCCTTCGGTGGGGCCATGAAACGTGTGAGGAGTGTGCCGAAATGGGTGGCGCGGACGCATGTGGACACCGCCACTGGGGCCTCCGGTGGAAATCCCTATGGGGCCACGAAGCGTGTGAGTGTGCCGAAATGGGTGGCGCGGACGCATGTGGACACCGCCACTGGGGGCCTTCGGTGGAGCTCCTTATGCGACCACGAAACGTTTGAGGGGTGTGCCGAAGCTGTCGACGATGATGGTGACTATGAAGGCGATGATGACGACGATGATGGTGATGATAACGATGATGGTAGTGATGGCGATGATGACGTGGAGATGATGACGATGATGATGATGACGATAATGATGGTGGGAGGAGGGAGGGGGAGGAGGAAGGAGGAGTGGACGTGGGGCGCTCTCTCTTCAAAACGAAGACCCAGCACCACAAGATGTGTGGGAAAAAAACATATCATGCCGTTCTTCGCCTGCTGAGCGCTTGCCCCTGACGCCGCTCGAAGACTATTGGACCGTCAACCGACGGCTCGGGGAGACGCCAGCCTTTCCAAGTCGTCGAGAAGTCCGGGCGGGAGCCGGCGCATCGGAACAGATCGCTGCGTCGGGTGGGCAGGACACAGCATGAGCAACAAAAACAAGGCTCCGCCCACAGGACGCTCTCGAGAAGCCCACTGGATGCTCTCGAGTCGGGCATGTCCTTCTGCAGACGGCGTTTGGAAAAAAAACATAAAATACTCAGAAATAAACAAAATTTGTAGACAGATCGTCCCTAGACTATTGTTGACCATTTGTGAGCATTCCTCCTAGAGAGGGACACGCCCGACGTTAAGCTCAGGAGTGCCCCAGACCTTCAAGAAGAGGCCCGAAGGGTGGGTCGGACCGAGGCCACGAGAGGCGCTCTGAGGACACCTCGGGACGCCCCCGAAGGGTCCCATGAGAACCTCGCGGCACCTCCAGGTGACAAAACGCCGCGCTTGCTGATTCCAACGCACGGTTCCCTCCTCCTCCTCCTCCTCCTCCTCCTCCTCCTCCTCCTCCTCCTCCTCCTCCTTCTTTTCCTCCCGAGAACCCTCCCGGCCGCTGCCGCTGCAGCCTCAGGCCGTTCAAGAACTGCCCAGTGTACTCGGTGCCATTCGCCCAGAGCTGCACCCCCTCGCCGACGATCTCGCCTCCCCCGCGGTCAGCCAGAAGAACACCCCCGTCCAAAAGACAGTCAACAAAACAGCACGAGCATAAAATTCATGGGGGCCACCACACGGACCTAGTGGGTCGGCGTGGGTATGACGATGTCCGGATGAGGATGCTGCGAATATCTCCTTCGGCCCCCTTCTCCTCCTCCTCCTGCTCCTCCGCCTCGCTATCCTATTGATCCTGCTTGCTATCCAACATCCTCTCATCCTGATCCTACTGGCTGCTGTTGACTCTCACCGTCTTCTCTGGAAGAAGAGGAAGAAGAAACTGCGTAAACATAAGCTTTCGGCGCTGCGCGCGGATTTCTTGGATCTTCGCGGAAACCCCCTCCCTGCCGCGTGGAGCGCGCCAAGGGCGGCGCCGGAGGCGTCGCCAGGAAGGGGCCCGCGCAGATGCGCGGAGCGCCGAAAGGTTATATGTCTAACATTGTTTCTTCTTCGCTTCTCATCCACCTTCCCCCGATTCGTGCTGCTCCGCCCCCTCTCGCGGCAAGAATAATCAACTTGACCTGCTGACACCCTGCCAGGCGGCATAGCGCCTCTGTTCACATCCACCCAACCATCCCACCTCCTCCTGGGACGGACGTGGAAGACGGCGTGGAGAAGGGAGGGGGGGGACGCGGAGGGGTTGGGGAAGGAGGCGAGAGACGATGGACGTAGGGGATGTGTGAGGGAAGAGTGAGGCAAGGACAAGACAGCAGAAATGAGGCAAAGAGCGTATGACTGCCAACCCTGGGCATGGACATGGACAGCCGGAAACATGCAACTGAAGATGTCTCCACCCGGAGACTCTCTACGCCAAGAACATAAATACACAAAACTCCCCCCAATGGATCGATGTGGAGCCTCAGGGAAGGGCGGCGGTGTAAATATATCGCAACAGAAAGCCAACAAAATGATTTGGCACGCCCAAAAAGGATACGCAGAAAATGGGCACGATGCCAACAATACATGTTTTTCGATTCCGACAGTGTCGGCTGTTGGGCAGGCGATTACAACGCCCGCGGCGACACCGACAGCGAGCCCGCTTCAAAATGGACAGGAACTCGTGTCGGTCTTCGTTCCGATGATCTGCGTGCCAATGCCCACCGCAGCGAACTATACACAACAACTTCGTCACGAAGGCAGAAGATAAACTCACCCACAAGTGGCTGTGTACATGTGCGTGCGGCGACCCCTAACAAATCACAAAAGCAGGAGCCGCCTTGACGGAACTCACCCTCGTAATAGCCGCCGTCCTCAAACGTCAGGCGGCCACTCCCGTGCTTCTTGCCAGCAAGCCAATCGCCCTCACGGGCGGCACGGGTCGCACGGCGGGGCAAAGCGGACACACGCCTGAAAAACACAACTGTCGGCATGCTTCGCAAGAGTTGCTGTTTTCAGATGGGCTGGTGGGGATACGCGAAGCGTAAAGAATTCACCCTCGTAATGGCCGCCGTCCTCAAAGGTCAGGCGGCCACTCCCGTGCTTCTTGCCAGCAAGCCACTCGCCCTCACGCGCGGCACACGGGTCGCACGGGGAGGCTACGTCGAGAGCATCAGAGTCGGAGGACTCCCGGGCAGATCGCGTTTTTTGCTTCTGAGGAGCGCGCGACGTTGGGAACTCAATGAGATTTTTGCACTGCCGAGCTTAACTCATGCTTGGGAATATGGAGGGATGGGCATCCATAGTCCGACGCATAGATTCTTATTCCCCGGACCCCCCCCACCCCCTTCCCCCAAACCGGACCCCCCACCCCAGGACACCCCAGGACACCCCTGCCCTCCACCCCACGAACCCCCCGGACGCCCTTTCGGAGTCCCGGAGGCCTTCTGGGCAGTTGGACGCCCCTGCCGACCGGAGCCCGCGGGCCCCAAACGGGCCCCAAGACGGCCTATAAGCGCTCAAAGAGACCAACTATGGTTTCAAGACGGCCCACGAGGCCCCCAAGACGGTCCAAGAGGCCCCAAAAGGGACCCCCGAGAGCCAAAAATCGTCTCATTCCCTTAGGAAGCGCACGCTTTTGCAGATATTAGCTTTTTCCGCTTCCGCAGCGTCCACGGCATCCCCAGAGAGTCTCGAGGTCGCCTCAGGACGGCCTCCGAGGCCTCTACGAGCGGCCCAACGCGGCCCCAAAAAGCTCCAAGACGGATCAAGAGAAGCCCAAGGCGGCACAAGAGGGGCCCCAGAGGGCCCCGAGAACTCCTAAGAGAGCCCCAAGAGAGCCACAGGAGGCCCCCAAGAATGTCCCAAGAGAGCCCCCGAAAAGCCCCTGGCCGGCCCGGCCCCCCAAAACGGCCAAAAGAGGGTTCCAGGACGGCCCAAGAGGGTTCCAAGACGGCCCAAAACAGCCCCAAAGGGAGTCCTCTGGTCCGGAGAGTCACCAGGAGCTCAAACGCGAGCCCACACCGTTCCAATATAGCTTCCATCAGTTCTCTTACACTCCACAAGGCCGTAGTTCGCAGGACGGTGGTTCGAAATTTCCTCAGAAGCCCCACAAGCGTTCAGGACCCCTCCAGGCATTGAGGAAGCGACCAATCGTCGTCGCCGCCGTCGTCGTCGTCCTACGGAGAAGAAGGAGGTCTCGGCTTGTCATCGCGGGGTGCCGCCTCATTATTGCGTAGCCCGCTTGCTGACACCCCGAGCGCTCGCTCCCGCGGCCTGCCCGAGAGGAGGAGCAGGAGGAACGGGAGGAGCAGGAGTAGGAGGAGGAGGAGGAGGACGACGACGACGAGGAAGGACAAAAATTCTGAGCGCTTCTGGTCCCATCGGGAGCTTCCAGAGGCCCTCGAGAGACGAGTGCCCCATCTGCAGTTCAGACGCGAGCCCCATCGTCGTCGTCGTCGTCGACGTCGTTGTCGTCGGCATCGTCGTCGTCGTGGTGGTGGTTGTGGTGGTGGTGGTGCTGGTGGTGGTGGTCCTCGTGATCGTGGTCGTATTCGTGGTCTCGACGCCCCCTCTGCTGAAACACGCGATGACTCATTGATTTTCCGAGAAGCGTCCGGAACAAGGCGCATGGCGCGAAGCGCCAATGCAGTCTTGTATATATATATATATATACATATGTGTGTGAACATGTAAATATAAAAAACACGTGTGCGTGCGTGTGTGTGTAGTCCCCAACCAGTGTTTGCTCTTAGGGTTTCTTACTTGTGTTCCAAGGAATTGGGGGGTGTTGTCGGTCTGGCGGCTTCGTGCTCGCCGTCGCCGCCCAACCACCGCCCGTCGTCCGGGGGGGGGGTCAGTCTGACGTTTCCATGCTCGCCGTTGCCGACCCGTCGCCGCCTCGTTGCCGCCCGTGGTCTGGGCCTGGTCGTCGGCCTGGCGGCGCCGTGCTCGCCGTCGCCGCCGCGTCGCCGCCCCGTCACCGCCTGGATTGCGAAACATCGCCAGGATTGCGGCTCCCTTTTTCTCATTGCAAATCACGTACGGGTTTGCTCCATCGCCCATCCTATTTATGAATCCATACCATCACAGGGGAAACATCATCGGCCCCCCCACCATCCTGCGCAAAATATGAGTATGCGCGCGCACTCGTTGATCAAAAACCGTACAGTGACAAAAAACCCTTGCAAAACACTAGACGACATGCAAACGCGCGCGTCGACGCGCGCGCAAGCCAACATCCTTCAAAAACCTTTTGTTTCGTAGGGAGTTCCGAATCAGGTGTCCAAGAGGCAAATAAAACCCGCGGGGTTTCACAACAGGGGTTTTCAAAACAAACTTGCGCGCGCGTTCTTACAAATCCTTGAGACAATCATGCGTTTTTCAACATTTTCACACGATGCTGCCAAACGGGCTTCGCGCGCGCGCGCGCCGAAAACATTGGCACGCCCTTGCGCTCGTGCTGGGGGGGGCACGATTTGTTTCAAATAATGGAATGCGGGCCACTGTCGCGCGTCGGCCGCGCGCGCATGTCGACCCCTGTTTCGAAACCTACATCACCGACGCGAGGACGCCGTCATCGTCGCCGGCGTGATCAACATCGCTACTTCCATCATCGTGTCTACCGTTATCGGCGTTGCCGTGATACTGCGCTCGCCCACGACGCCGACCCGCAGTGAAATGCCCGCTGGGATGTGCCGAGCGGTCAGCGCCACCGCAGTCGCGTCGGGCGCGCCAAACTAGCTGGCCGCTGCGCGCGCGCAAACAAGCGCGGGCGAGCGAGGCCGCAGAAATGCACCAACCAACACCAAGCACACATCGCAATCGCTTCCGCATGGGTTTTGCAAACCACGTTGCGCGAAGGTGGGTGGGATGGATGCGCGAGCAGTGGAATCGACAATTTCAAGTTCGGCAAAACGAGCTGCATCACATGGATTGCGCGTCGTAGATTGCACCAGGGAAACTGCGCAACCCAGACTGCACAGCATAGATTGCGCCACGTCGATTGTTCCCAATAAACTGTGCACACGTCGGTTGTACCACATAACTTTGCACCACACAGTGATCCACATGGACTGCTCCACAATGATCTCGCAAGGTAGATTGCACAACGTGCGCTGCATCACCTAGGTTTTCCTTTCAACAAAAACGGCTCTACCCCCGGGGATTATCACCTGCCCTGTTCGTATTGCAATGTGCGTGCGATTATGCCCGGTCGTCTATTCGAGCGATGAACGCGTACCAGCCCAGGGGAACCAGTATCGCCGCCCCCCCGCCATCCTGTGCCAAAAGCATGATGCGCGCGCACGCGTGGATCAAACACCAACATGTTTCAAACAATCCCTTGCGTAATAAAAAAGCGAAGTGCACACGCGCGCGTTGTCGCGCGCGCGTGCCGAAGTCTCCAACAACTCAGAGTTTCGAAAGGATTTCGAAATCGAGTGTTCAAAACAGTAGGACAACAAACATGTAAAAACACATGGTTTCGTAAGACTGATGTTTCCCCCATAAATGTGCGCGCGCTCTTGCGAATCCGAATGAAAACTGTAATTTTTCAAATTTTCAGAAATTGCGACCAAACGCGCTTCGCGCGCGCATGTCGAAATCGTTCGAACGCCCTCGCGCGCATGCCGTCGCGAGAACCCTTTGCAAAAGACGAAACGCAATGCACGCGCGCGCGCCATCACGCGCGCATGCCACAATCCGTCACCAAACTTGGGTGTCGTAGCAATTGTCAAAACCGCGTGCCCAAACACATACAACCACACATGGTTTACCAACATCAATTGTCAAAAAAACTTGCGCTCGCGCTTTCGCGATATTTTGAGAAAGCCATCGGTTGTTCAGCATATTCACGGAAGTCTGCCAAGCGGGCCTTTTCGCGCCGCATGCCAACATCATTCGCACGCCCTTGCGCGCGTGCTGGGGTGGGCGCGCGATCCGTGTCAAAAATACCATGCGGGTCACTGTCGCGTCATCGTCGTCGCCGGCCGCGCCTTCGTCGTTGCCAACATCGTCACCAGCATCGCTACTATCATCATCGTATCTACTGTTGTCGGCGTTGCCATGGTGCCGCGCCCGCCCAAGCCGCCGACCCGCAGTGATGTGCCCGCTGGGATGTGCCCACCGGTCACGCCACCGCGGCCGCGTCGGTCGCGCCAAATTAGCTGGCTGCTGCGCGCGCGTGCTTGGTTTGGCGCGGCCGCAGAGATGCACCAGCCAGCGCCAAGCACTCATCGCAATCGCCGCCGCATGGGGTTTGCAAACCAAATTGCGGGTGGGTGGGTGGGTGGGATGTTTGCAAAAGCGTGGGATGCGTCATCTCGTTTGTTGCAATAAAATACAGCACGTATAATGTACCGCATAAGTTGCACTAGTTGTATTCGCCACACAGACTGCACCATATAGGTTGCACACAGCCGATTGCAACACACCGGCGTCGCTTCACATAGATTACACCACATAGATTGCCCCACATGCGCTGCACCGCATAATTACACTGCTCCACCACCTTCGCTTCACGAGTATTGCACAACACACCTTGCACAACATCAGCTGTACGAAGAATGTTGCGCAATGTAAATTCCACAACGTAGATATTACTTCATACAGTGTCAAAAATATACGGCACAACGAAAACTGCAAGAGGCACACAATGTTGGGTCAACGCTGCCTAGCATGCGCATGTGTATATATAGCCTCGTGAGTACTGAGAGGGTAAGGGAAAAAGAAAGACAGATATGCATACTTAGAGAAAAAGAGAAAGAGAGAGAGAGAGAGACACTAAGCGAGAACAAGAGGTAAACAAACGACATACAAATAAAGAGAGAGAGAGAGAGAAATCCAAACAAAACAACACACACGAAAGAGAAACCATAACCGTATCAAGTTAGCCAGGCTACCAATCCCCGCCCTCCTTCCCAAAACGTTAGAATCCATCGAGGCACCCTGTGAGGTTGGGACACTCGAGCGCGCTCCCACTTGGCGACCGGACGGCGCTCGGGTGCGGTCCCGCTTCCGACTTGGCGAAAAGCATCGGAACGAGGCCCGTTCATGGGCGGGGGGGGGAACTTCGAGGCGTTGCGGCGAAAGGACCACGTACCCCTTTCCAGGGCGGCCACATTCCCGATCAACGCGGAGAAAACAAACGAAACGCCGCGCACTGCCACGTTCACACAAACATCCCCACACAAAGCGCGCGGCGCTGAGTCGGGAACGCAAAGTTCCGCCCTCTCTGGCGCGGACCCGCTGGCACCCAGAAGCGGGCACATGCTTCGCGCCCGCGCGGAAGCGTCATGTCTGAGAAAAAACTCGACGATGCGGGCGGGGACGACATGTCGCCGGTCGCGCGACGCCCCGCCCCAAACGACTCTGCAAATGGAAGCCGCGCGTCCCGCCGAGGCGGGAGAGCCCCTTTCGGGCGAAATCTGTGCGGCGCCGACTCGAGGGCGACACTCTCGTCCGCTCGCGCGCCGACGACGTCGCAACGCACGCGCCGCAGCCGAGCGGCAGGTCAGTTCTGAAGGGGCCCACGAGCACACAGATAAATAGACACAAATAACAGGGTCCCCCTAATTGTCCATATTTTCTCGGTTTCTGTTCCCCCCCCCACTTCCCATGTTTTCCCATATTGTCTGGGGAATCGACGATTAATTGTGTCTGTGTTTTTGTTCCCCTCCTGAAGTTCTCAGGACGCACGAGCGCGGCGCCGAGGCGAGATCAGCATGTCGCCCTGTCGCGTGGGATGCGCGCCGCGCCACGCTCTTGCCACGCAGCTTGCGCCGTCGACGACAACGCGTCCACGTTAAGGGACAAACTGAGATTAGGGCGCCATCGGCGGGCTGGATGGCAGAGCGGAAGTGCTGGTAATAAGTGTACGCATGCACACAGAGAGAAGAGAGAGAGAGAGGGTGGGGAGCCAAGAGAGAGAGAGAGAGAGAGAGCGGAAGAGGTCGAGGGATAGGGAGGGTGAGGAAGAGAGAGGGAGAAGGATACATTCTCAGAGAGGGACGGAGGAGAGACAAAGAAAGAGAAACAAAGAAACGTGAGAGAAAGAGAAGGGGAGAGGAACATAAATATCCAGAGAGAGAGAGAGTGAGAGAAGAGTCGCGTTCCCAGGAATTGGAGCGTAAATTGGGTGGTAAGTTTCACGCCATGCAAAATATTGGTTCGAACCCGGTCGCCAACAAGGTAGCTGCGGGCATCCCAGGAACTGTACTAGGAGGTACCTGCGGGCAGCCCAGGCAATGTACTTCACAGGTACCATCGGGCAGCCCAGGACAAATACTTACGATGTGCCCGCGGGCAACCATCGTTGCCTGGAAGACATTCAATGGATCCCAGAAGACGTCCGGAGTCCTGTGGGTTCGCTGGATTACAAAAACGGCTTCTATGTATTTTGAAGGATTCCTCGAGGATCCCGACGGTGTGCCTGCGGAGTCCCTCAGGGCTTCTCTAGAGATCCCAGGAAGATTCCGGAGGGATTCCGCGACAATTCGTGACAAATTCCAGCACGAGACCTGGGGTATTCCATGAAATCTCTACGGATCCAAAAAAATCTTCGCGTGGACTCCTTGGGGATTTCCACGAGGATCCCCAAGGATTTCCGGAGGATTCCTCCAGGGATTCGAATGAATCTGAAGGGTCTCGAAAGGGTCCGAAAGAGTCCTGGGGGATTCCTGGGGAACCCTGCCGGAGTCCGATAGGTTGCTGCGCATTCGGGAGGGGGGGGGCCCCAGGGGTTCCTAAAATATCCAAAAAATTCCTGGAAGACTCCAGTGGTCCCTGGAGGGAATTCTAGACCCATATGGATTCACGAAAACACATGAATTAAGTCAGGATTCCAAGGATTCCGTTGATGTGCTAGGACTTCCTGAGGATGCCTCAGGAACCTGGGACCTGACTTTTCTGATGGAACTCTCAAAGATCCTGGAGGATCTCCGTACGTTCCTGAAGATTCTCATGTATTCCTGAGAGACTCATCAGCTTCCTTACTGAATCCTGAAAACCTTGGGGAGACCCCGTTGGGTCCTGAAGGGGCTCCCGCCCCCCCCCCGAGAGGCCGGGACCCTGGTTCCCGCTCTTGCCAACAACAAAACACAAACACATATCAAACAACACACTACCGGTATCGAATGGGCATGCTGTATCCGCCACTGCGCAGTCAGCACGGAATGGATGCCCAACGGTTCATGCAGTACGGGCTCAGGATTCGTTAAAACGCGGATCCGACATTTGCCAGAACTCCCTGCCTTACTCGGGCGCTCCCAGGAGATGTCGCATGAGCCTGCGGGGCGCTGTCGCACCCTCAACGACGCCCAAGAATACACCAAGACGGCCCAACAAGACCTCACACCGCTCCGAGCGGGCTCCAAGAGAGCCCCAAGAGGCAGAACCACTGATTTCCAATGTTTAATTCGGCTTTCAGCACTCTCGCATAAAACAGGCCCCCAGCGCTACAAGACACAGCCCAAGAGGCCCCCACGACCGCCCGGAAGAGACCCACAAGACGCCCCGGGAGGGCCCAAAGACCGCCCAGGAGGTCCCCCAGAGAACCCAAGAGGACCCCACGAGAGGGCCAAGAGAGGGGCACCGAGCTGACATTTCGAGCCCGCCCCCCAAAGATAGCACTCGAGACCGCCAGCATGCCCCCCGGAGGCCCCTAAGAGGCCCTTCGAGGCCCCCAAAGGCGCCCCCCAAGCGGCCCAACAAATACATCCCAAAGGAATCAGGCTTCCCCAGGATGCCCAGACAACCCAAAGAGACCTCGATCTACGACCCAGGCGCGGTGGCGGGATGGGCTCAAGGCCACCGGGTACGTAACTATATTTAAAAGAGAGAGAGAGAGAGAGAGAGACAGAGGGAAGAAAAACGAGTGTGTGGGAAAGAGAAAGAGAGAAAGAGAGAGAGAGAGAGAGAACAAAAAAGAGCAAAGAGCGAGAGGAAGATGGGGTCCGAAGAGAGGCGCAATGCAATAGCGACATGTGCAACGGGATAGGTCGCAGGGGATTGGTGCTAAGAGAGAAGGAGAGAGATATGATTGGCAACACTTTCGTATACATTTATATATAGATATATGTATATGTATACTGATACTGATTTGTGTATAAACATGTGCGTCTACAGAAATCAGTGAAATACAAGGACACGTATCACTACGTAGAGGCAAATCGCAAATAAGGTTGAAGAGGGTGCGAGGCAGATGTAGAGATAGGAGAAACGGGGATGGGAGGGAGAGACGAAGAAGAAGGAATGAGAAACAGACGCACGCACACGTCGCCAGGGAGGGGGAGACAAAAAGTGGGATAGGTTCCAGGTGTTCGGGGACGGGGTCCGACACTAAGTGGGCGAAGATGCAGATGGTAGGCGACCAAATCAAATCTGAGAAACGGAGAGGACGTAAGGAGGAGACCATTGCGAGAAGAGGGAACAAGACATTATACTGTGGAGGCCAGTCCACGAAAAACCTTCCACAAGAGAACCAACCCTGAGATCCAAGGACGTCCATTGATTTTTGGTCCATAGATAAACCATCGAAGCCCGAAAATCCCAGGGCACCCTGGGGGCAAGCAGGGTGCTTCTTGTCATGGGTCTCCACTGCACTGCGAGCGACGCAACAGGAAATGCAAGTGGAATGGGCGATGCAGCGAAAGACGCCCCGAACAGTGAGAGGGCGCAGCCACTAGACCAGAAGAAACTAAAGAGGCACTCAAATCTCACCGATTCTCCCCCCCGCCCTATTCGGGATGAAGAAGGCGGAGTCGAGGCTCGAGGGATCTGGCGTATATGAGATATCCAAAAACTCACAACAGACGTGTTCGCCCATTTCGGAAGTGTCCGGAGGCCGCTGGGAACCACAGTGAGACCTCTGGGGTCTGGGCCTGTCAACCCTTTCCGTGCACCACATCACTCCACTCCCCTTGCCTTCCCACCCTGTCTGACGGGCCGGCAAAAGTAGCAGAGGCCTTTCGGGGAAGGAGGACAACAAACCCTCGACACCTGGTGTAAATATCGATCAGAGCTGTTCGTGTTCCTCCGCCTCCACCTTATCCGCACTCCTCTGCTCCAACACATGCTCACACACGGCTTCCATCTCTTCACCCGCTACATGAGTTCCCATTCACTTCATCCTCGTCATCCTCCCCCTCATGCTCCAACCCCTCCTCCTCCTCCTCCTCATCCAACTCCTCCTCCTCTTGTAACACTATTGCGCGACCTTAGGCTACAGCCAAGGCTGATCCATGATCGACGTAGGCACAATAAGCACAACGAAAGCAACAGGACACGCCGTGTTCTGCTTCCTCCTCCTCTTCCTTCTCTCCCTCGCCTCGTCCGCCTCACCCCCCTATCATATCCTCCTCCTCCACCTCCTCCTCCTCCTTCTCCCCCTCCTGCTCCAACTCCTCCTTCCCCGCCCATCTTCTTGCTGCACAATTGCACGATCTCAGCCTACAAGCAGGCTTAATTCATGACCGACGTAGGCACAATCAGCACAACGAATAAAACAGGACTCTTAATTTTCCACCTCCTTCTCCTCCTCCTGCTAATCTCCCCCGCCTCGTCGGCCCCAACCTCCATCCCATCCTCCTCCAGCCTCCGCTCCCAACCTTGCCTTAGCCTGACACCACCGCTGCATATCTCGTGAAATCGTCAAGCGACCCACCAAGGCCTCGTACGTGAAGTAGGGGTTGGGGTAGAAGTACGTCCCCCGGCCCTCTCGCCTGCCGCTCTCGACCGAGACCTCGCCCTCGTACCTGAGCCACATGCCCCCCGCAGCGGGGACGGCCGAGCCACACGCCCCCCCCCCCCATGGCCGGCGGGCTGGAAACGGGGGCCCAAGGCACCCGCGAACTGCCCGGGAGGGGTGTCGAGTTCCGACCTCGCCCAGGAGGGCTGCCGTAGGGGAACGACGAGAGACATAACACATAACAACTCGGAGTTCCGCGCGGATTTCTCGGATCGGCGCTGGGACCCCCTGGCGCGCTCCGCGCGCCAGGGAGGGGGGGGTCCAGCGCCGATCCGAGAATTCCGCGCGGACTTCCGAGCGGTTCTGTTTGCACCATTGCTCGAGGAGGGGTGCGGCAGCATGCTTGCCCCACGCTTTCCCTCGGACGAGGAAGTCTCGTTCTGAACTCCGGACCTGCTCACGTGTAACCACACAGCTGCCAGAGGATCGTGGTGTTCCACCTGCCGGGGAAAGCGGGTGCCAGGCGCCGACAGGCTCAGCGCGCCGACGGGCCGAGCGCGGCTGCTCCCGAGGGCGGCGTGTCACTGATACTCGTGGTCCATTCTGAAGTCTACTTCGCAAGGCTACCTTTAGGCTGGGCCTGTCCCCCTACAGGGGGATGTGAAACGGAAAATGGAAAATAGTCAAACCATATTCCAAAAATACAGAACATTGCTTGTATAAAAAAAAAAAAAAACATCGTCCCCAGACTACTTTTTGGAAAAGGGACGTGCCCGACTTAAGGCTACCTCCACATCCTCCTCGGGCAGGTCGAGGGACTCTCGTTGCAGCGCGCGGAATGACATCCCACAACGAAATGATCCAATCACCGACAGATCGGGAAACCCGATCAGGTCGTGAGCGTCGAATCGGGTTGCATCGGCACGAGGTCGACAACGAAAGTGATCGGCTGCGCCAGGATTCGAAGCATCGCCATGCAAGCATCTGGTCGCATCGGATCGTCGTGATGTGGGGATCAAATTGGCTCGGACCAGGCCGGTACCGATTCGGAACGATCGGATCGAAATGGACCCTGCCCCCGACGGGGCAGCACGCCAACGTCATTGGAGCTCTCTCGCCGCGCTTCATCGAGCACCCTCTTGCAGGACGAGGGGCTCCCGATGCAGCGCGCGAGAGGGGAGAGAGTCGGGCAAAACGGTGCGGTGGCAGAGGGTGCGATCACCGCACGGTCAGTCACTGCGCGGTTGGGGGACTTCGGGGGGCCCCAGGCGCCCGAGACGTCCTCGGAGATCGACCCAGGTCCCGAACCGCCCGCCGACCTCGAACCACCTCTGACTCACCGGACGGTGTGGCCACCGCACCGCTTGGAGATCTCTGAAAAGGCGGGAGAAAGATGAGAAGGAGAAGGGGAGTGACCAAGATTGGGGGGAGGAGGAGGCGAGAAGGGAAAGACTCGAGTCGGAGGTTGCCAGACGTGGTCCCGGACCAAGATGCTCCAAGCGTTCCGCGCGGCCCTGGGCCATCCAGAGCCCACCCCAGGCTTCGTCAGGCAGGCTCTGGAAGCAGGCAGGGCACCCCTGGAAAAACAACAACACACTGTATGACCGCAAACTGTCTGAGGGAGGATGGGAGTCAGTGATCGAAGGCTTGGGGTGAGGGAAAAGGTTCCCTTGATAGCAGTGAGTTAATTTCTTACAGCGCGCTATTGGATTCTGGCGAGACGGGGGCCATGTCTGAGAAAATCGTGTCAGTAGTGCTTTCAGCGTTGACGACTTCCACTGTAGGCATTCCCCTTTGCTCTGCGAGTGAGCGCTGTAGGCCATGACGCCCTGGTGCCTTGTCTTGGAAACTGCGGGCTCCTTCCCTACGCAGATATCTTACGTCGATGTGGCCCTGCCCGAGAAACCCCCGGGAAGGTTCAAGCCCATTGGGGCACTTCCTGGATGATACCGTGCCTGGGCCGTGCGAGGACAGGAGAGGCTCTCGGGTGGGAGCTGAGGTCTCCTGGAGGGTGCTGGGCTGCTGGGGCCGATAGAGGTGCGGGGGACGCTGCTTGAACGACACTCGCAGTGGGCAGGTCTCTGCGGCAGTGTCTGGGGACTTCCACAAGTACTATGAGCACATTCGCTCGCAGTGCCTCTGGCGCAAGTCCCTTCAGCATGAATGCCCTGCGTGCTTGGCCCGCCCGGCCATCCCGGCGTACCCGTGTACTGGATGTCCTGCGTTGGTGAGTGCGCTGGGGGGCACTGCGAAGGTCCTTCTTTCGTTCACAAAGGGGTCTTCGCGGGGTGCTCGTTCGCCACTAACTTAACGGTCGTGTGCGATTGAAACTTTCGATCAGCTTACTGAGCGTCCCGGAAAGTCTGCCACGTTCAACGCCTATGTAGATCACCTTGATTTGAGCTGCACTTGGACAGCTAAGGCTGTCATCCAAGGTCTGGTTCGGAGAGCTCGTGCTCTGGAAGGTGCGATCGCAATCCAACTCGAGTGCAAGCTGGCCATGGACAAGGTAGGCATGGTCAGCGGCCACAGCTTCGTCCCCCAGAAATGGATTAGGGAACTGGCGCCCTCAAATGGACAACCTTGCACTCGGGTCACCAGCGTAGCTTCTGCTGTTGCTGCTGGCTGACCTGCTGATCCAGCAGAAGAAGGAGTGCGAGACTCCGAGCTCGTGCTGCGGCTGCTCTCAGGAGAACGCGTCGGCTCAACGGGTTGGATGGAGCCATCGGGCGCCAGACACGCAGGATTCCTGCGGCTGGAACCTTGGCTGGTGGGTCGTAGGATTATGTTGGGATGCTGTTAAGAATGTCATGAGCTCAACAAGAATTGGAGGTCAAACTTGAGGGTGGATCCGTTCTCAGGCGACCAACACTTGCTGGACTGCAGGTGATGTCGCCGACGCGGGCTATACCCGTTGTCCTGATTGCGTGCTGCAGGCACGGCCCGCGACACCATCTTCCACAGGGTGTTCAAGTTCCCGTGCGTGCAGAAAGAGAGAGAGAGAGACGCGAGGTTATCCCCGCTTGTCTCCAAGAGGAGGCTCTCGACGTGGATCCTAGCAACCCCGAAATGGTTCTCTGTCGGCATGGTGCGTTCGCGCATCCGGCCTGGTGACTCGGCCCCAGCGCCCTTGACGAAGAACGGCGTCACGCTCGACTGGCTCGTGGAGGCACTGCCAGACCAGTCGGGTGCTGCTGCTACTTCTTCCCTCCTTCCAGGCCAGGGCCAGACCTAAACGCTACTTTTGGTTTTGTGCTCGTTTTGGCTTTCGTTTAGCTCTACCCGTTGTTTTCCTTTATCTCCCCACGAAAGCGAATAGCGAAACACAGCCGAAGTCCAGCAGACCAGCGTTTAGCTCCAACCCAGGCCGCTTTCCCGGACGGCTCCTGCCACGGGCATGCCATCCGAGAGCTCCCGCCTGCGGGCTGGGCGGCTGTGATGTATTCGATCCTGGGGAAGAGCTCGGGATCCTCAAGGGCACCCTGTGGGATCCGTAGCCACAAAGCCCACAATATGCCGAATTCGCTGCCTTAGCTTGGGGAGCCGTGTGCCCAGACGGCCCTCCCACAGCTACTCCGACTGTTCTAATGTGGTGCAGCTGGCGACCTTCGGCAGTGCTAACGCCATCGCAGCGAGGCGCAACTACGCTGGCCGGGTCATTCGAGCTAGGCATCAAGTCCAATCGCACGTGCTGTCGTCTGCCAAGGTGGACGCTCACCGCGCCCTTGACGAGCAGGGCATGTCCGAGCGTGAGCGTTTCTTTGGGGCGTTTGGGCAAACAATTTTGATCTGGCAGCGAAGCAGAGGCCCAGCCGAGCATGCCCCCCTCCGGAAACGACGAGCTCCAGCAGGCAGATCAGGACTGCTCGACTGGCCCTGCTCGGCGGCGAGCCCGGGGGGGGGGAAGCGAGAAGGAGAAGGCCTTCTCATAAGGCTCGGAAGTTCCCCGGCCCTCCGAGACGTTTTCTAAGCCTTCCCCGACGACGCAGGAAACCTGTCAGAAGGCCAGAGGGCTTCTGAGAAGTCCCGCCGCCTGCTGAGAGGGCCTTCTCCTTCTCGCTTCCCCTCCCCTCGCTCGCCGCCGGCCTGATGGCGGGAGCTGAGCTCCTGCCGCCGTGGCCGAAGGTCGAGCTTCGCGGTATGGCTCGTGCGCCCAGGATAACAACGTCCTGCGGAGTGGTCTTTGGAGGTCTCCCGCGACTGGGCCCAGACTCATGCCGGGCACATCCTCCTACAGGCGGTGTTCAGAAGGAGGAGAAAGCATAACGAAAATAGAATCAACAAACCGTCAGAAGAGCACAGAACATCGTCACCAGACTATTTGTCTTACTATTATTGGATATTCCCCCTGTAGCGGGACGTGCCCGACTTCAGGCTGGTCCCGGACGGGCGACGATCAAAAACGGATCTTACGCGAGATGGCACAGCGACCTCACGCGGCGGCTTGCGCGGGCCGCGGGCGCGGCACGCCACGCCGGAGACGAGGGCGCTCACGCGCGACCTGACGCGGGGAGCTCACGCGCCAGTGTCGGCGCGGTTGGACCGGCTCCTTGCCGGCGCCCCGAGGGGGCTCATGTCGGCGCTGCAGGGTGTGCAGCGGGGGCTCCCGTGAGAAATCCAAGACCGCTGGCGGTTCGTGCTCGGGGGAGTGCCGTCTGGACCGTTGGGTGCTCGAGGCCTCAGACCGTCGTGCCACTGGCAAATCGCACCTGTTCCTCTGCATGTCGTGCAAAGTTTGCAGCAGTGGGGTTGGAGTAAAAGGCCTGGGTGGTAAATGCCGACCTCCTACTCACGGTGACGGGTGAGAAGACGAACTTACGCCGTCTCGGAAGAGAAGGCCAGCACCCTGGTGAAGGTGGGATGTCAGCTGATTAAGACTCGAATCGGTAAATTCGGCTCGGAGCCGAAGGGGGGAGTGAGAAAGGGGCGAGCTGTCTCAGAAGGCTCGGAAACCCCCAGCCTTCAGAGAAGTGGTCTAAGCCGTCCCCGTAGACACCGAAAGCTTCTCAGAAGGCGCGAGGGGTTCTCAGATTCTCCTTTTCATGTCCCCCCCTCGCTCGACGCCGATAGATCGAATCGAATCGAAGCGTGCATTGGCTAGGGCTGCGTCGACACGGAATCGGAATCGAATCGGAGCGGCTGCGCCAAGGACAGCAACGCCATGTTCGGGTGTTGCTAGAAGTGCCCCTGGCCCAAGGTGCCCCCAGCTTTTCGTTCCATGTTGGATTCCTGGAGGCCCTCTGGGCCTCGTGAGGGGTGCCCTGGAGGCCGTTTGGGCCACCCCGAGAATCCTGGGGGCACCTTGGGCCAGGGGCACTTCTGGCAACACCCGACACAGCTGGTGCAACTCTAGCCCCGGATCAGTCGTTCACGCTCCTGGGACCCGACAACGGCCCCCAGCAGGGGGCAGAAAACACAACAACAGACCTGCCCGAACCCAGAGCCTCGAACCTGCCCGCCCTTCGGCCAGGACCCGTGCTGTGCCACCTCAGACATCCAGTCGTGGGGAAACCGAGAGGTACCGATACTGCTACTCCTCAGACCTCTCCCGGGCTACGCCATGACCAGAATTTCAAGGCGAATCCAGCGGTAGCGACGAGGGCCTTCCAGAGGCCCCAAAAATGGAAACGAGGGAAGGGATGGCGGTATCGGTACCTGTTCCTCCTTTCGAAAACGATGAAGGTCGACCCCTAGAGTTATCCTCAAATTCCCCGGGACCGGTTCCTCATCCTGAGTCGTTATTTGACAGTCCTGAGGGCAAGTAAGGGCCCCCAAAAGACAGAAAATGGGAACCAAAAAACTTCCCGTCGTGATTCCTTCCGAACTCAAGAGGGTCTGGGCTTGTCTCGAAGAAGGAGAAAATCTGCATAAACAGAAACTTGGCGCTTCGCGCGGATTTCTTAGATCTGCGTCAGACCTCCCTCCCTGGCGCGCGGAGCGCGCCAGAGGCGCTGCCAGGGGGGCCCAGCGTGGATCCACGAGGAAAACCGCGCGGAGCGCCAAAAGTTTATATTTACTTGTCTTCCATTGCCATCTGGGGCATTTCCTTCTCTGGGTGCTGGGTCACCTCCCCAAACCCCGACGTCATGATGTTTTCATGACGCGACCCCCAGAGGTGCGGACCCATTCCCTGGGCTCGCTCTTCCTCCCGAGGCACTTTTTGACGGCCCCGAGGCCTGGTAAGGCCCCCCAGACGCCCAAAAACAAAAACAAAAATCGACTCGAGGAGGTCCGGGTCGGACGCCCAGCCTGGGGGACCCCGCCCCCCCCCCCCCGCGGTGGAGGAGCGGCGCCTGCCGCCCGCGTGGTTGGCGTGCCGCTGCGCCACGCTCAGCGTCGGCGCGGCCCGGTGCGGCGGGAGGGCGCTCGTGCTGCGGGGCGCGCCGCTCCCCGGGCGGAAGGTTCCTCCTCCTCCTCCTCCTCCTCCTCCTCCTCCTCCTCCTGTTCCTGTTCCTGTTCCTGTTCCTCCTGCTCCTCCTGCTCCTCCTGCTCCTCCTCCTCCTCCTCCTCGGTCCTCCTCCTCCTCCTCCTCCGCTATTCTTCCTCCTCGTCCTCCTCCTCCTTGTAGGAGAAGAAATAACGCTATCATAAGCATCATGCACTTTTGGCGTTCCGCGCGGATTTCTTGGATCTGCGCTGGACCCCCCCTCCCAGGCAAGCGGGGCGCGCCAGGGGCCGCGCCGGAGGCGCCGCCGGGGGGGCCCAGCGCAGATCCAAGAAATCCGCGCGCAGCGCCAAAAGTTTATGTTCATGTAGTGTTTGTTCTTCTTCTTCTAAGGTTGGCACGCCCGAAGCCCAAACCGTTGGTCGACCCAACAGGGGGTCCTGCTGAAAGGGGGTGGTGCAATAGGCTTGGGGCAATTGTGTTGCAAATGTGTTGCGCCGGAAGATTGCTGCAACTAGCGTATTGCACGCGAGAGCCCAGAAATACATTTGCGCACCGGAATGTACGGCACGCCCCAAATCGACTGCAACCCCACAAATCTATTACACCAAATCCATTGCACCATCCCCTTGTCGTTGGCATAAACCTCAGAAACAAATAGACTTTGCCCTCCAAGTCCAACACCACACGTTGGCCTAAGCCGACAGCGGCCGCTGCTGGGCAGGCTTATATCATGTGCACAATATGTCATCAGCCTGACACATGTCCTTATCCTTATGGTTGGCAGAACCATATCTCGATGCCGATCTTGATGATCCCCCAATATTTTAGGACGCATCCGTAAGATTGCCATCGCCTCTGGGCTTGTCATTAATGGAAGGAGGGCAAATGTGCGAGTGCATCGAGCGAGAACGACGCAGCGAAGTGTAGGAAAGCACGAGCCACGATATCCTACAATTGGTTTGGCCACGAACCAGTCCCACCTACAGTGCCAAAGCCTACATCGCCGTTGCCTACATTGCAGTTAGCGCGTCTGCGGGCTAAGCAAGACGCTCGTGAACAACGTCCACGGCGATGCTGGCAGCGAACCCTACTTGACCTAGGCAGAAGCTGCTTTTGGTTTTCGTGCCCATTGCTTCCAACTCCAAGTCGCCCTCCCCGAGGGAGGGGCGCCCAGGCGGCGCGCGGGAGCCAACATGGTGCGGCAACACACCGTGCGGTGGCGGCGGCGGCGGCGGAATCCCCAACCCGACCTCACCGCACGGTCCGTCACCGCACACCGCTCGGTTCGGGGACCTCTCGTTTTATAACTATCCGGGCGAATAGCCTAACAAAATTAAGTCGTGAATACCGCAATGCCAAGGATCGCTTTCGGTGGAACTCCCCCATGGGGTCACGGACCATGTGAGGGGTACGCCGAAATGGGCGGGGAACCACATGTGAACCTGCCAATGGGGCCTTCGGTGGAGCCCCCCGTCATTGGGCCACGACCCGTGTGAGGAGTGTGCCACAATCGGCGACGGACGCATGTGATTACTGCTGATTGGGCCTCCGTTAAGCTCCCTCTGGGGCCACGAGGGGTGTGAGCAGTGCGCCGACCTGGGCGGGGGGACGCGTGTGATTCCTGCCACTGCGGTCTTCGATGCAGCTTCCTATATGGGGTCAAGAAGCGTGTCAGGAATGTGCCAAAATGCGCACGGGGGCGCATGTGACTCCTGCCGCTGCGGTAACTGACGTACGAGGGATGTGCCAAAATGGGCGGGGGGGCGCATGTAATTCCTGCCGTTGCGGCCTTCGATGACGCTCGTCATGGGGCCACGGTGAACGCGAGGCGCTGCGGCCTCAAAACGAGGGCCCCGGATGCTTGAGAAACACATGATAAACAACAAAATGTTGTTCTCTTCGGCCTGCGGGGGGCCTCCCGGGTCCCCGGGACAGTCGAAAATCTACTCTGGATGAAAAAGCGATCCCGGGGAAGAGATCCAGACCTCGGGGGACCCACGTTGTACCAAAAAACGTACGTCGGATGTCAGGGCCGCCCTCCGGCGGCCGTTCGGGACGATCTGGGCGACCTGGGAACGCCCCCGGTGAGGCGCAGCTGCTGGAGAGCTTTCAGAGGCTGGAAGAAACTCCGGGAAGCAACGAAAACGCTCGAAAGCCTCGAACCTCGAAACTTCGACCCCCCCCCTCCCCCCTGACCCCTATCCCCCCCACCCACCCCAAAGGTGCCCCTGAGCAGATGCCCCTGGAGGAGGAGGAGGAGGAAAAGGAGGCGGAGGCGGAGGCGGAGGCAGAGGCGGAGGAGGAGGCAGAGGCGGAGGAGGAGGCGGAGGCGGAGGAGGAGGAGGCGGAGGAGGAGGAGGAGGAGGAGGGAGGAAGGAGGAGGAGGAGGAGGGAGGAGGAGGCGGAGGAGGAGGCGGAGGAGGAGGAGGCGGAGGAGGAGGAGGAGCAGCGGGGGCCCCCCGTGGCGCGCCCCTGCTGCAGCAGCATGGGCGGCGGGCGGAGCCGCGCGCGGGGAGGCCGCCCCGCAGATGGGGGGGGGCCCGGAGCGGATCGCGCCGCAGCTGGCTGCCTGCCAGACCACCTCAGCAGGGCTGAACCTAAACGGTGTTTGTCGTCTTCGTTTTGCTTTCGTTTTCCATTGTTTTCTGTCTTCCATCCACCTCTACCGCAAAGCGAAGTCGAAACGAAAACGGCCCACGAAATCGCCAAAACGCCGTTCAGGTCCAGCCCTGCACCCCAGCCCAACCCGAAGACCCGAAGTTCGCCCGCCTTCGGGCCAGGTCGGGGTGGTCTGCAGGTGGGCGGTGAGCGTCGCCGACGCCCCCCCCCAAGGCCAACCTGTGGTTGGGGGCTGGGCGTGCCCTCCTACTGGCGGACTCCAGAAGAGAGATGAAACACAGCCACACAAGGCTCGAGCATACACAACAAAGCACGAACAGGTGTCCCTATGGTTTCGGCGCGCACACGGGGGTCGGAGGAGGGGGGAAGGCTTCTTGGAAGGAGGCTGCTTCTTAGAAGGCGCCGGCCCTACATCCACAGACAAGGCCCCCGCCTTCTAAGAAGCAGGGCTGCTTCTAAGAAGCCTTCCCCCGTCCCTCTGCCCCCCTCCACGCGCCGCCAATCCCTCCTGTCGAGGGAACCGCCCGACCGAAACCTCGGCCACGGCTGGCTCTCCTCGGACTCCTGCCTGCCCCGCCCCCCCGGGGCGCGCTCCGCGCCCCCCCGCCGGCACGCGCCCTGGCGCGCCCGCGGACGCCCCCCGGCGGGGGGAGCCGAAGAGGCACCGGCAACGCTACCGCCGGGGCCGAGTGGAGAGGGCCCGCGCGAGGACACCCTGCGACGCACAGAGGAGGCTTGTAGTCCACGAGGCAGCTGCCACAAGAGGCCCAGCCCTGAGACCCCGGGGCGTCCACTGGTTTTGGGTGCGGGAGCGCCTCGCGCGTTCCTCAGCGAGACCATCGAGACCCACGAAACCCGGGGCACCCTGGAGGCAGGAGGGGTGCTTCTTGGCACAGGTCTCCACTGCACAGGGCACGGGCCGCGAAGCGCGGGGCACGGGGGCAGCCCCGACCTGGCAGGGCATCGACCTGCGAATCGGCAGCGCCTGCCGTCCACGGGGGGGCGGCGCGCAGGCAAGGGGGTGGCGCGAGGGGGGGGAGGCCTCTGAGAGGCCAAGGGGCCTTCGTGGGACCCGAGCGGAAGAACTGGTCCCGGGGAAGCGGTCGAACGGTCGGGGGCTCGTACTGGGGGAACGAACAATGACATAAACATAACATCTCGGAGGTCCGCGCGGACTTCTCGGATCGGCGCTGGGGCCCCCTGGCGGCGCTTCCGGCGCCGCCCCTGGCGCGCTCCGCGCGCCAGGGGGGCGCCAGCGCCGATCCGAGCAATCCGCGCGGACCTCCGAGATTGCATGGTTATGTCATTGTTCGTTCCGCTAGATTGGGATGGGCGCTTCTGAGGAGCACCTGGAGAATTCTGAGAAGCCTTCTCTGAAGCCGCCAGGCGCCTCTCGAAGCCCCCCTGGCCTTCTAAGAAGCCCCTTTGCGTCTCAAAGGGCCTCAGCCTCGCGACCCTCCGTGCGCGCGCCGCCGCAACGAGGGGCATGGTGATCCCAGGCCCCGAGCTCTGGGGCCCGCGGGGGGGGCGTCCATCCTCGACTGGGGTGCGTCCGAACATAGAAGGCAAAAAATCCCCCCCCATCATAACCACCCCGACACGCGAAGCCGTTTACCAAACGCCCCCACTGACGGAATGGAACAGGGCAGGGCTGTTTAGTAAACGCCCAAGGCCGTTCAATAAACGCCGATTGTCTGGTCTGGGTGGTTTCCTCCCTTGAGACCCCTGGAGAGTGCATCCTAGAATTTATCCCCTATCCGAGCGCCCGCACCTTTCCGGGCAGATCTCTCGAGGATTGGAGCAAGAGCTCGCCTGCGAGCTGCACTGGCGGTGCGCCGGCAGCGTGGGGACGGGCCGAGTTTTTCGAACGCGTGGGCAAAATCAGGACGGATGGCACTTTATGCGTAGCACTCCATTGCGGATACCTACGAATGAGGGGGCAGGCGCGTGGTGGGTCGCAGGTGCGTCGCGGGGTGGGTCGCGGGGTGGGTCGCGGGTGGGTCGCGGGGGGGTCGCGGGCGAGGACGACGACGGCGGAATCCGCCAAACGGAACGCTTACTTCTGCCACGAACCCGGGAATAAATGACGGTTCGGTTCGGCCCCCTCACTCATATAATTCTTCTGCCCCTGAGGGCCCTCGCGGGGCCCCAGGACCGTCAAGCAAACGGCTCGAGATGATGAGCCGGTCCTGGGCGAAATGGTCGGGACTTCCGGGGTCCGCGTATTGGCAAAATTAAGGCGTCGGATGTCTGGGGAGAAGATCGGGCTCCAGGGCAGATTCACGAAAATCGCGCGGCGCCTCGAACATATATGCGTAGGTTGTCGATCTCCTCGGACTGCGATTTCTCAGAGCAATGGTTTAGGGAAAGAAGTTGCCCTGGGTCAGCGCGCAACCTGGCCGAAGCCAGGGCCCGCGTCGTGAAACGCCCTGGCAAGCCGCAAGTGGCTGCTAAAGTACCGCGAGGGACGCAAAGTGAGGAACGAAGGAGCTCTTCTGGTCACAGCGAGCCTTCTGCCTCAGGCACGGCCTGTAAACCAGAGCCCCTCGCACCTCGGTGCTCTGGTGGTCGGCCCCGCGCAGCTGCCAAGCTGGTGCTAGCCAGGACCACCGTCTGACCCCCGTCGACGTTGACCCCAGACCTCTGACGTCATGATTTTTTCATGACGCGACCTCCAAAACTCTGGGGACCCAGTCCCCAGGACCAGTGTCTCGTCCTGAATCGTTGTCTGACGGTCCCTAGGCCTGGTAAGGGCCCCCAGGTGCCGAAAGTAGCAAAAAACCTCGCATCGTGAGCTTGTTTTCATGACTCGAGGAGGTGTCTGGGTCTGACTCCCGTCGGCGCTGACCCCCCGCCACCTCCGGCCCCTGCGGCCCCGTCTGCTGCGGCCCTAGGATGCCCGGCCCGGGCAGGGGGGCCCCATAGCGGTACCGGTGGCCCGACTGTGTGGCAAACACTTTTTGGCGTCGGCGGCTGGGCAGAGGGTGACTGCGCTGGCGATGGGGGCTTCAACAGGGACGCCGTTAGAGCGAACTGTGCCACCATGCAAGAGGAGGACGAGGAGAGGACGCGGCCAAAGGAAAAGAGGAACGGGGCGGACGGCACAGGGGGCAGACCGCCACCCGAGCGCCGTGTGGCAAACACACAGGGACTTCGGGGGGACGGCGCGGCTTTGGGACTCGTGTCGTTCTCCGAGGACGTCTCGGGCGACTGGCTGGCCAGTGGCGGCGGGAGAGACCTCGTCGCCTGGCGGGCCATTGCGACGCCATCTCTGACGGGGGATGGGGGCGACCCCCCATGCCCGAACCAAACATTTGGTACCGAACTCGGGGTATTCAATGCGGGAGCGCCCATCCTTGACAAGGATGCTCCCGAGCAGCATCCTCTGGGGGTATGTTCCCAACGTCCCCTCGTTTTTCGGAGCGGCGAGCTCCTCAAGGGATTTCCGGGATCGGTGGCGAGAGATGAACGCGCCAGGGAGGGCCGGTGCCAGAGGCACCGCCAGCGGGGGCCCAGCGCAGATCCCAGAAATCCGCGCGGACCTACTGTTTGTCAAGGCTGATTAGGCTGATTCCCTAAATCCGCCGATCCGGCGTGTGAGTTTCTGAGAGCGTGGGCTTGAGCTCGCTCAAGCTTCGCTCTAGGGAGGGGGGTCGGGATCCGGCGAATTGTCCACGCAATTCAGTGAACGCTCTAGCGCGGGGGGGGGGGGGGTCCAAGGACCGGGGGGGGTCGAACGGAGGGGTCGAGCTCAAGCGGGGGGGGGGTCAGCGCGGGGGGGGGGGGTCCAAGAATCGAGGGGGTGGGGGGGAGCTCGAGCGAGGACGGGGGGGGGTCGAACGGAGGGGGGGGTCGAGCTCAAGCGGGGGGGGGGTCAGCCCGGGGGGAGGGGGGGTCCAAGAATCGAGGGGGGGGGGGGCTTGAGCGAGGACGGGGGGGGGGATCGAACGGAGGGGGGGGTCGAGCTCAAGCGGGGGTGGGGGTCAGCGCGGGGGGGGGGTCCAAGAAACGAGGGGGAGGGGGGGAGGGGGAACTCGAGCGAGGACGGGGGAGGGGGGGTCGAACGGAGGGGGGGGGTCGAGCTCAAGCGGGGGTGGGGTCAGCGCTGTGGGGGGGGGGGTCCAAGAATCGAGGGGGGGGGGGAGCTCGAGCGAGGACGGGGGGGGGGTCGAGCTCAAGCGGGGAGGGGGGGTCCAAGGAGGAAGCTCGAGCGGGGACAGAGGGGGGGGTCGAGCTCAAGCGGGGGATAGGGGGGGTCCAAGAAACCGAGGAGGACAGCGGGGGGAGGAGGGACGTCGTCGTCATCATCGTCCGTTGTTGAACCGGTCGTCGGTCGTCGTCGTCGTCATCGTCCGTTCCCACACGCATCGGGAATACCCCAGATCGGCGGCACTGGCCGGAGGCCATTACAATAGCGTTTCGCTGGAAGGGTCTAGTGGGTGTGGAAAAAACGAACACGATAGGGGAAAAGGGGAGACCCTAGATCGCCTGGTCGCGCAGCCGTTTCGCTGGAGACTTCCTCACAGTTGATGATGGAATCGTGCTCGCGCCTCAATGCCGGCAAGCTACATTTGAGACCCCTGCCAACCTCGTACTTCTTCAGCTCTTCTTCGGGTACTCTGTTGAGAGAGAGAACGCGCTTCGTGGACGCATGCTTGGACAAGAACCCCTTCTCAGGTTGGAACTGCCCCCCCCCCTCCCCGCCCCCCCCCCCAAGGACAAACATTCAGCGCCCCTGGATTCACGCCCCCCCCCCTTCCCTGGGTACCGGGACCGGGGGGGGCCTGTCCAAGGGGGTGGGGGGGAGGAGGAGGAGGAGGAGGAGGAGGAGGAGGAGGAGGAGGAGGAGGAGGAGGAGGAGGAGGAGGAGGAGGAGGAGGAGGAGGAGGAGTAGGAGGAGGAGGACGAGGACGAGGGCGAGGAGGAGGAGGAGGAGGAGGAGGAGGAGGAGGCCTTCCCCCTATCTGAGTTTCACGGGGGCGGAGGCCTCATGCCCGCGGGGGGGGTTCGAACCGGCCCCCCCCCCCCCCTCCCATCACTTGCAGAGGGAGCTGCGAGAGGGTTCGAACTGGCCCCCTTCGCACCCCGCCCGAGCATGGGAGGGGGCGAGCAAGCGAAAGAGCCTCCTAGGTGAAGTCGAAGTAGATGGGGTCGGAGAATCGCGCCGCATCGCCGATACATCGGCGATACATCGGCGATACATCGGCGATGCATCGGCGATGCATCGGCGACGCGTCGGCGA